CAGCCCCACAGCATGAGGCTGCTACCAGCACACTTTACTTTTGGGATGGTACTCTGCAGGTGATGAGCGGAGCTGGTATCCTTCAAACATGATGCTTGGAATTGAGGTTCATCAGACCAGAGAATCTTGTTTCTCACAGTCTGAGGGTCCTTTAGGTGCTTTTTTGCTAATTCCAAGTGTGTTTTCGTGTGTCTTTACTGAGGAGTGGATTGAGTTTGGCCACACTGACATAAAACCCAGATCGGTGGAGTGTTGCAGTGATGTTTGTCCTTCTCTAGGTTTCTCCCATCTGCACATATGATCATGGAGCTCAACTAGAGTGACCATCAGGTTCTTGGTCACCACTATAACCAAAGCCCTTCTCCATCAATTGCTCAGTTTGGCCAGGAGGCCAGCTCTAGGAAGAGTCCTGGTTGTTTCAAACTTCTTCCATTAAGGGTAACACAGACTACATGCTTCTGTGACCCTTAAATGAAGCAGATTTCAAAGTTTTCACAGCTTTATTATTCAAGGAGTCTCTGATACTTACTGTCAATATACATATTTCAGTCAACAAAACCATAAAAATGGGTTTCTTATTAGTAAATTTACACTTATGAATGTGAAATGTGGTCAACAGTACAAGTAAATTAATTAATTAATTCCAAAACTGTTCCTCTTGGTCAGAATAGTCAGTAAAAGCCAAAGAGTACAGGTCAAATCTATTGATCATGTGGTCCATATCATTGCAGGACGCGCATGCGCACTGTGCTTGCATAGGCCTATATATATATCCATAGTGACAATAACAGCGGCGGGCCGCGGCGTCTCCCATGACAACGGCAGCCAGACAATGAACGAGCGCTCGGATGGCAGAAGAGACACGAGCAAATATGTCGTTTTGAACCGGGACGTTTTCCAAACGCGTTCTGTCCTCCGTATACGTGATAATTGCTGAATATCTGGCGGCGCGTCATGTAGCGGAGGCCGCGCTGGGCGGGGAGGGCAACGAACAGACGTCCGCGGGAGCGTTCGTTCAACGCGTCGGGAATATTCACGCATCTTTAAAGCTGGATTGTGGATCTGACGCGTGGACTGAGGTAAATTCCGCTCTGATGGGGCTCGGCTCGGTCTGGCGTCGCTGTGGCCGCTGACAGGTGCACACAGATTATATTTCTGATCGTGATAATAAAGCGACTCCGTTCATTCATAATCTCTCGTCTGTGAGGATTTCACGCAGATATACATCATATTAAATTGTTTTGTGTTCAACACAAACATGCTTTCATCACTTTTGAATGGCCATTCATCAGCGCTGTCTTATCTTGGGTTATTGGTAGGTGATTGTTCTTCTGTGTTCATCGATAAGATCATTCATTGTTTGGTCTGTTCTGGATCTGGATCTGGATGTTGGCCTTTTTTGGGCTGCTTTGGGGTTTCTGGACACTCACGTTATTACATTGGGTTTTACAATGACTGTAAACTGTCTTTATGAAAAGGGTGTGCTGAAAACTGAGGTAGTACCATGGTACACTGATGGTTTTTATGGTACAGCACAGTCAAAGAGGTTTCTTCTGTCAAATGTGCAGCTGTACAATACATGCTGTCTTTTGTACAAACTGACTATTCTAGTTTGAAAATATAAAAATATATAGAAGAACAGAAGAAGTGGTAATAAAAAAATAATAAAGTTAAATATATCAGTAACATTTTGTTGTTGTTGTTGTTGTTGTTGTTCTCAACTATTTCCTATGTGCACTTGTTTCTATCATTTTTGATATCTTCTAGTCATCATGATCCAGGCATATTGTTAGATCATGGCAAAATTTCAATTCTTTAAAAGCATCATTTTTATTTTTCACCTCATTATAGAACCGTTTTTCACTTTTCCAGCTTACTCTTTAACAATTCATATCAACATAAATAGTTATTCATATTTAATTTCTTTAGGCAGAATAGCATAGATTTTTGAAATTTCATTCTAGAAAGCATTATATTGGACAAAAATTTGTTTACGCTCCTAAATGCAGGATGAGTCGTCAATATTTGGGTCTGTTTTCCTAGAAGAGAAATTTTAAATGTGTGTGTGCATCCCGAAGATTTATTTTTATTTTAGCATAAAGATGACTTCAAAGCAACTTTATAAGGAACAAAACTCCAATTTAGATTTAACAGGTTATTGAAGGTATAGTTGAATCTCTACTCATGTCATTCAAAACTTGATTAATAATTTGCATAGCGATGACTGTCAAGCTTCCAAATACACCCAAAAGGAGCATAAAATTCAAACATGTATATTGAAAATCATCTGAAGCTATGTGATAGCTTTATGAGGAATAGAAGACAAAATTAATTACTCCTTTGACTGAATTATATATATATTTTTTTTTTTTATTAACTGTTTAAGATGTTTTCAGTAACTCTTGACCGCGTGTGTGTGTGTGTGTGTTTAGGATGGATGTAGGTGCACTTGCAGGTGGGGACGGTGTCCCGAGAAGAGCAGATTCGGTTGAAGGTGGACTTGAAATCGTGCCGCTGGAAATGTACGACTCGGCCAGAGCCAAGATAGAAGCAAACCTCCGGTGGTTGTTTGCCAAAGCGTACGGGGAAGGTAAGTGCATCTCTTTTCTGCAATCCCCCTCTTACAAACAGTGACTCCCTTTGAATTTCAGTATCATGATATTTATAGTTTCCTCCAAGGTTCCCCAAAACCATAGAAGTACCATGTCCAAAAAAAAAAACACCTTTTGGTATTTATTTCTTAAAGGGGTCATATGACGTTGCTAAAAAGAACATTATTTTGTGTATTTGGTGTAATGAAATGTGTTTATGCGGTTTAAGGTAAAAAAAAACACATTATTTTCCACATACTGTACATTATTGTTTCTCCTCTATGCCCCGCCTTTCTGAAACGCGTCGATTTTTACAAAGCTCATCGGTCTGAAAAGCGAGGTGTGCTCTGATTGGCCAGCTATCTTCTGGAACAGTGTTGTAAATACAACTTAACCACTGATTTCTAGTCGTGTCCATTTTTGGAAGACCAAACAAAGTAGTGTCGCTTTCACAACGAAACAGTGTCACACACGGTGGTCTTGAGTGAGCGGCGGCCGGGGGCTAGAGTGAGGAACGGCCGGAGGGCTAGAGTGAGCAGAGGCCGGCGGGCTTGAGAACGGCGGCGGTTGGCGGATTCGACGAAGGAGCGTCCGGAGGGTTTGCGGCAACAACATGTGACGACCCCGGGCTGGACTCCGCTTCGTCCACGGTGAAAGCTTTATGCACCAAGAGCTTGTAACACTCCAAAGAGAAAGGAAAAATTGAAATCGCGTCATATGACCCCTTTAATTTGTGTTTAGTAACTAATATCCTTTGAGATAGAAACATTAGCAGTCTCATGTTTTTAATATGCTTTCATGTATATACTATATATTATTTAAAAAAAATTAACCTTTAACTCTTCTTGCTATTTGTGACAAAAAAAATTGAATTGGAAAAATTCTACTCACTTTATACATTTATAGATGAAAGAAATAGTTGGGCTGTCAATTAAAATTTGTAAAAACACCAATTTAAACAATTTATACAGCAATTTATACAAATATTATTACATTAAAAACAAATTGTAGATGCAATTTTGATTTAAAAAACACCATACAGCAATTTATGAGTATTATTGCAGAAAAAAATAAATGATTGCCACAGTTTTGATTTAAAAAACACCATATAGCAAATTATACAAATATTATTATAATATTTGTATATTATAATATTAAATATAATTTAATTCATTTATTTATTTTTATTAAATAAATAAAATAAATACATTAAAATAAAAAAATATATAAATAAATAAAAACATGTTATTTTTTTATTATCGTTTCTTATTGCTGGCCACTGTGTTCCGGGCAGAACGCACTCTTGCTTGGCCTATGACATCTATTGAACTGCTTGCTTTGGATGCTGGCAGTGAGATGTGTTGACTGGCATGGAGAAATAGTTCTGAAGTGGCAGAAGGTGTGTGTGTTGGGATGAGTGTGTGTGTAGCTTTTTAGTCAGCAGTTCTCACAGTCCACAGTGACCACGGCTCTATACTGACCTCAAGAGAGCTTTGGAAAGGACCTGACGTTCTCTCAGTGCTCTTGAGTTGAGCAGAGCCTTTGGAATAAATGATTGTGATCGATGCATGAACGTTTGTGCCAGTGAAACTTACTGGATGTGTGTTTGATAGGCATGAGGAAGGTGATGATGATGATGATGGTGGTGTGTGTTTTCCTCTAGCAGAGCGTCTTGAGTCTAATCAGGGGACAGAAATAACAGCGTCTGTTACATCACAAAGCCTGCAGACTGAAATATCTGTGTGTGATTGTGTGTGAACGTGCAGTCACTCTGCTAACATACGTCGTGTTTGTAACCCTGAATGGGGCTAAATGAATTTTGTAGATTTCTTCAGAACAAAACTCATTTAGACTAAAGGTAAAAATAATGGATGCATTGAAATAGAAGAGTCTTATGTGATAACCATGTCAAGTCAATTTTTTATGTAGTATGTATTTTACAATACACCGTTTCAAAGCAGCTTTACAGAAAATCAGGATGTTGATGTTTATAATATTATAATATCTTCATGCCTTTTAGTTGCATTTAGCAGATTAGAGTTGGGCAGTAATATATACTGTATATACACTACCGGTCAAAAGTTTGGGATCAGAACGATTTTTCATGTTTTTTAAAGGAGATTCTTATGCTCATCAAGGCTGCATTTATTTGATCGGCACTTTTGAACGGCAGTATATATTCAACTTTATATAAAGAGCAGAGCGAAAATAGTTACATTTTGTGATTGGGGAAAAAACATGAGGTTGAGATTTGTTATATAGTAAATATCTCTTTATACAGTTTGCTAATTCATATTGCTTTACATTTGTTTACTGTATATATGCAAATAAAGTTTGATATAATATTAATCCAACAGGATATAAATTAAGTATCTTCATTTGCCTAATGTTTTATAGTTATAATATATGTGCAATGAAACTTCATATAAAGAGCTGAGCAATAATATTGTTACATTTTGCAATGAAAATTAAAAATCAAGCAGTTGAGATTTAGTATATATATCATTTCTATGTGAGTTTACTGTGTGAATGCAAATGAAGTTTGATAGAATATTAATCCTTTATATAGAGAGCTGTGCGATAATACCTATTACATTTCTGTGATGCTAATGTAATATTTCAGAAAATCTTTAATGTTTGTCTGATTGTATATAGAGATCTCTATATCAACTTTGAAATTAGAATTTGATTATCATTTGAAATGAGCTTTGTCATGATTTCTAATAGATCCATATTGATCTGTAAGATTTCTTTGACCTTGATGACCTCATGCATATGAATGAGGGAAAAGGATCTAAATTAAGCGCCCTCATTTGCTTTAATGTTTTATATTCATAATATATGTGCAATGCATTGTCTATGTTTGAAATCCCATGCACGCTGTCACACTTGCTAAAACAGCTTTTACATTATGTACATTACCTTTTAAATCAACATATCTGAATATAAATGCTCAGTTGTAATATTTCAGAATATTGTTGAGTTATAGTATTTGACTTGTCCTTTCTCAGAGATTTTCAGGGTCTGACTGAAACCTGAAGCTGTGTCCTCAGCTAGAGCAGAGATAAAGATTATTTGATGTGATATTGTGGGTTTATGTGGAGTTTTGCTCTGGAGTTTTGTCCAGTTTTGAAGGTGTAGTCAGATGTCATTGTGAGGGAAACTCTCGTGTGTGTGACCCATTTCTGACTGTCAGCCTTTATTTATTAATGAGAAGTAGTACACACACACACACACACACACAAACATGTCTGTGTATAGAACTTTTGATTTTAATATAATGTTAGTAATAAAAAAGATTTGATTTTTGATTTATTTGTATATATTCTCAGTTTAATATTATAAAATGAAACCGTTTTTTTAAGTTGTAATATAATCTTTGGGTCGTAATCTTAGAACATATAATATTATTATTATTATTATATAAATATATAATATTATCTTTAATTTAATATTATACAATAAAAATTGTATTGTTGTTAGCTTTAAATTGTAATGTGTGTGTGTATATACAGAATGTATTATTATTATGTATATACAATATTATAGTCGCTTAATAATTTTATTATTATTATTATTATTAGAATGTATACAAAGTAATATTATATTATAAAAAATTATTATTATTAATACAAGTATTAACAATGTATTAAAATGATTGAATATTCTGGAATTTTTAACAAATGTACCAGGATTCATTTAAAAAATAAATTTGAAATTAAAAGTATATATGTGACCCTGGCAAGGCAAGGCAAGTTTATTTATATAGCACATTTCATACACAATGGTAATTCAAAGTGCTTTACATAAAAGGAAGTAAAATAATCATAAAAAATAATCACAACAATAAAACAAGGAATTTAAAAACTTTTAAAATTATTTAAAAATTGATTTAAAAGTTCAGACCCTGAACCACAAAACCAGTCATAAGGGTCAATTTTTTTAAATTGAGATTTATACATCATCTGAAAGCTTTCCATTGATGTATGGTTTGTTAGGATAGGACAATATTTGGCCGAGATACAAATATTTGAAAATCTGGAATCTGAAGGTGCAAAAAAAATCTAAATATTGAGAAAATCGCCTTTAAAGTGGTCCAAATGAAGTTCTTAGCAATGCATATTACTAATCAAAAATTACGTTTTAATATATTTACAGTATGAAATTTACTAAATATTTTCATGGAACATGATCTTTACTTAATATCCTAATGATTTTTGGCATAAAAGACAAATCAATAATTTTGACCCATACAATGTATTTTTGGCTATTGCTACAAATATACCCCAGCTATTTAAGACTGGTTTTGTGGTCCAGGGTCACATATCATTAATAAACCATGTACTAGGAGATTTGATAAAAAAAGAGCAAAAACTTCTGTAGCAAAATCCGGTCGAATGCATTACCTCTGGAAGTAGTTGAAAGTGGACAAACTCAAAACATTTTAGACCCCGTTCACTCCTTTATTTAATGTTGTCCACTTGTGATCGGATTGACGAAAACGCATCTTAAAGGGGTCATATGATGTGATTTCAAGTTTTCCTTTCTCTTTGGAGTGTTACAAGCTGTTCGTGAATAGATAAGATCCCTGAAGTTGCAAAGACTAAAGTCTCAAAACCAAAGAGATATTCTTTATCAAAGTTAAGACTCTGCCGCACCCCCCTAAAACATCACACACATCACAGTGGAGTCAGCTGTCTTAACCGCGGCTTGTGTACTGCATTATTACTGTGTCTGTTCCCCTTTCAGGCTTGAACTGATGGTAAAACTAATGACATTATTTACTGTCTTTACATTTATTTTGAAAGATGAAGCTCGCGATTATGGTAAGGGGCGTTACATTTCCGACGAGTGCTTGTGGTGTTCGGCCAATCACAATGCACTGGGTCAGCTGGCCAATCAGAGCAGACTGCGCTTGTCGGAAGGAGGGACTTTGTAGAAAACGAAGCGTTTGAGAGAGGCGGGGCATAGAGGACTTACAATAATGTACAGTATTTGAAAAATAATGTGTTTTTTGAACATTAAAGCATGTCTGTTACACCTGTTACACCAAATACACAAAATAATGATCTTTAAAAAAGCATCATATGACCCCTTTAATATACTAATGTTTTTTGGCATAAAACAAAAATCGATCATTTTTTGATCCATACAATGTTTTGTTGGCTATTGCTACAAATATCCCCGTGCTACTTATGACTGGTTTTGTTATCCAGGGTCACATATTATATTTTTCTAAATATTTTATTTTAATATTCTGGGATATTTCCATCTTCATTGCAAATGTCTTCATTGAAAAAGATGAAAAGTGTGTGGTTAAGCGTGTATCTTAAAAGAAAGTGGTACCATGGTAATCTGATTCTGAATGGTCTTGTGAGACATTTAGGGATACTAGAGTTCACTCTGTGCAAACAGTACAAATTCTCTGATTTCAACAGAAACAAAGAGTAAAAAAAAAACACATGGGAAAATCTCAAAGAAAGTGACGCTCTGTCATACAGCTGAATTTAACATTTTAACTTTTGCTGCACTATAGTTGGATGTAGGCATTTGTTGACCAGATACAGTTTCAGAGTGACAAGTCCAATTTTCCAGTTTGATTTTAAAGATTTGTCTCTTTCCACCTCTAAATAAATCCCATATATTCCCATCTTTCAAACGTCCCACCAGAGCTGTATTTATTTAGTGTTGTCTATGTAGGATTTGTCAAATGTACACTTGCGCACACACACACGCGTCTCATCAGGGTTTATTAGACAGTCGGCCACTGTTAATCTTCCTCAGGCTTTAATCTGACTGGTTGACCTTTGACCTCCTAATTTAACGAAACCTCAGATTGACCCTTGGCAGACTGGAAAAATATGCAAACAAACAAAAAAAAAAGACCTGTAAGAGAGAAATGGACAATTTAAAGGAAAAAGTGTAATTTTGCCCTTGCACTAATAATAAGCGGTGACTGTTTTCCACCTGCAGTGCTGTCAGCATTACCTAAAGCTGCTTATCATCTTGACCATGCTCTCTTCTCACGTCTGAATCAAACACACGAGGTCAAACACGCCAACAAGTGAAATAAACATCGTCTCGTCACTTAGCCGCATTAGCTTAGCAGTTAGCTATAATTAGCCTAGCACTGAAGACGTGAATGTGTAATCACACTGAGACGCCTGATGTCGTGTCTTTCTGTGGAAGTGTTTGTGTTGGTTGTGTTCGATTCGGCCGGCAAGATGTTAGCCATTTTAGTGACTGATCTCAAAATCACCTTTTGTTTTTCGTTTGTCTTTTCCATGCAGTCTGTCTACAGTTCTTACAGTCTGATTTGTCAATTCTCCACTTACAATTTATTGATAGCTAGAGGTCACATTTTACACAAAGTGTAAAAAAGAGAGAGAGAAATTATATTTTAATTTTTTAGGACAATTAAAATAATTGATTATAACAATAATAATATTTACATATATTATTATAATTATTATTATATAATGTTATACATATCTTAAAATCGAATCATTATATATTATATAATTACTAGATCATGTATTTCTTAAAATATTTTTCTACATTTTCCGTATATAAAAAAAATTATTTTCTGAAATTATTATAATTTGTGTGTATACACATACATATACACACGTGCACACAAATCCTATTTATCAAATTTTTTTCTAAATAAATTTTAATCTAATTATTACATTTTAATCTAAATAATATCAATATGCATTGATATTTTTCTTAAGATTTTGAATTCAGTTTCATTTTTATATTTTTTGTTTTCATTTTAATTTCTGGTAAAGTTTTAGTGATTTTGATGTGTGTTTTTGTCTTATTATTATTATTTAAAATATGTCTATATAGTTTTTAATTGTAGTTAATTTTAGTGCTTCAACTAAGTGCCTTGCTAACTAGCTGAAATAGAATAAGTTTATTTTTTTAATAAATTTATTTCAATTAAAATAATTTTTTAATGACTTTAGTTTAACAATAATAATCCTAATTTCAATATAATATAATTCCTTATATATATAATTATGTAATGTAATTGTATGTATATATATGTGTATGTGTATATATATTCAATTTCAATATAATATTAAAATTGCCTAAATATATGTATATGTATGTGTGTGTGTGTGTGTGTATATATATATATATAAACAAATCAGTAGAGTTATACTAGTTGTATCAGGCTGTTGTACTGTAATTCTGTACTTTTGTATAGTTTTTATGTATTTTGTATAACTCCCTCTCTGTGTGTCTCTCTGTGTGTGTGTGTGTCAGAGCACATCCCAGCGGACCTGCGGGACCCGTTCTACATGGATCAGTACTGCGTGGAGCACATCAAGCCTCCGGTGCTATCGCTGCTGCTGTCCTCGGAGCTGTACTGCAGGGTGTGTGGGCTGCTGCTGAAGGGCGACCAGGCGTCTGCGCTCACCTCCCATCAGGCCGTCATCCAGACGCTCGCACGCCGTGGGATATGTGTCAGAGAAGCAGACGACACACCCGTCTCCTACGACGACCTCTCCTCCACCCCCATTAAGATGGTGTGATTTCCACCTTTGACTTCTTACCTGAACATAGTGCCGAGGTTACAGTGTGTCTAACAGAGTGCAACAGTCCGTAAAAGTAAAATCGGATAAGAAACAGAAAAGCAGCAAAATAAGATAAAACCATAAAATATTTCTGTTTTTTTAAATAAACCTTATATATATTACATTTTATAAAATAAATAAATAACTATATAGACATGCTTAAAGAAACCCAGAAACTAAGAAAAAAAAATCCTGTAGAGAAAATAGCTGGGAAAAACACTTCCTAAACGAAGGCTGCTAAAAGTGAGCAGTCACTGTTGCGCTCTGTTGTTTGTGTGTGCGTGTGTGTGTGTGTGTGTGTGTCTAGCTGAAATAGAATAAGTTTATTTTTTTAATAAATTTATTTCAATTAAAATAATTTTTTAATGACTTTAGTTTAACAATAATAATCCTAATTTCAATATAATATAATTCCTTATATATATAATTATGTAATGTAATTGTATGTATATATATGTGTATGTGTATATATATTCAATTTCAATATAATATTAAAATTGCCTAAATATATGTATATGTATGTGTGTGTGTGTGTGTGTATATATATATATATAAACAAATCAGTAGAGTTATACTAGTTGTATCAGGCTGTTGTACTGTAATTCTGTACTTTTGTATAGTTTTTATGTATTTTGTATAACTCCCTCTCTGTGTGTCTCTCTGTGTGTGTGTGTGTCAGAGCACATCCCAGCGGACCTGCGGGACCCGTTCTACATGGATCAGTACTGCGTGGAGCACATCAAGCCTCCGGTGCTGTCGCTGCTGCTGTCCTCAGAGCTGTACTGCAGGGTGTGCGGGCTGCTGCTGAAGGGCGACCAGGCGTCTGCGCTCAGCTCCCATCAGGCCGTCATCCAGACGCTCGCACGCCGCGGGATATGTGTCAGAGAAGCAGACGACACGCCTGTCTCCCACGACGACCTCTCCTCCACCCCCATTAAGATGGTGCGATTTCCACCTTTGACTTCTTACCTCAAGATAGTGCCGATGTTACAGTGTGTGTCTAATAGAGCGCAACGGTCGGGCTCCAGAAGTCAAATCCCTTTAGTTTTACACATAGTGAATCTAAATAATAGGGCTGTGCAAAAAATCGAATGTGATTGTCATGCGCATCTCGTCAGTGTGTGAGATTTGGAGAGGTGTATCTGAGGACAGAACTCGGGCACAGTAGGACCATCTGTTCAAAACCTGCTGGGGTGATGGAGCGCCACGGCCAGACGTGTGTGTGTTTGTAGGCCATTGGAAACATCCATAGTGTTTCTCTAATGGACCAGCACCCAAACACAAAGTCTCTTTTAGTTCCCATTAGCTAATTTTCAGAATGATTATACTTATGAGATGAGCAGCCATGAGCATCACCACATGACAGAACAACATTTACTCTTTTGTTGTTCTAGGACTAAGAAAGAAATATGAAATTTTATTAATTCCATTTATTCTGATCAAAATCACTGGAAGGTTCATCAGTCACATTGCAGTTCTGATTTCCAAACATGTAACTTCACAGCAGTTTAGTTTTATTTATAGTACATTATATATTTATTAGTATAGTTATAGTATTTATTAGTAATTATTTATCAACATTTATTAATATTTTGAATTAGCTTTTATTTTTTTATTGTCAGTTTTTATTTTAATTTTAGTTTGATTTCAGTCAGTTGCCAAGGCAACATTTTAAATTTCGGTTTACCTTTTTTAAGTTTAGGTTTTAAGTTATTTTTTTTATCTTTGTTTATATTTTATTTAATTTCAGCTTCATTTCAGTTATCAAAAGTTTGTTTTAATACAATAACAACACTGCTCCCAATGAAAAAAAAAATGTAATATTGAAAGCAGAAAAAAAAAATTTATTTATTATATTTAATTTATTTATTCTTGTCAAAACAAAAATTTGGGTTAACTTTTCATTTATAAATTCAGAGATAAAATCTATAAATAGCTTGAATATTTGATTTCCACATGTTGGCAGGAATGAAACGTATGGTAGTATTGTGAATATAGTTGTTATTCATATGCAGAATCCTGTGTTCAGTTGTATTGTTTTGTGTTTGTGTGTGTAGAGTTCTCATATCCCGCTGATAGATGCTCTGATGATGGCGTATACGGTGGAGATGATGGCTGTAGAGAGAGTTGTGGCGAGTGTCAAGCGCTTCTCCACCTTCTGCGCCTCTAAAGAGCTTCCCTTCGACATGGAGGACGCCATGCTGTTCTGGATCAACAAGGTCAGTGTTTCATTCCTTTAATCAGGACAAGTTCAAATATAATGTTAGTCAAGGTTTCTTGCACCAAGCATGTTATAATTTTGTTTTTCACTGTCATTTTCATCCTCTCTCTGAGCCTTAGAAATAAATGTTATTTTGCTACTGTACCTTTAAGATGTTTGATAGTTTGTTAAAATGAAAGAAACCGAAATTATACTGTACAAACTCTTTGTGAAGATCATCTACACAAAACACCCTAAGATAAATGAGCAAAATGAACACACAAAAGATTTAGAAATTATTTATAAAGGTTTTTTTTTTAAGTTTCAAGGTTAAAATGGAGTAAAAAGCATTATGATTTTTCTTTTTTTCAGGGTTTTTTTCAGGATAGAAAGTTCAAATGAGTTCATTCAAAATAAAAATATTATGTAGCATTATAAATGTATTTAATGTTCCTTAACTGAAATAACAATGTATAAAAAATAGACATAAAAAAGAAACTACTAAACATGTCAAAAACACACAAAAAAATGTACTAAAACTTTAACTAAAATGAAAATGAAACCGAAAATATAACAATAAAAACTATAATAGTACCTCACTGATATTAAAAAAACTCTGTAGGAAACTAAACCTCTAAAGTTGAATCACTAAAAAAATTCTTATATTGTTGTATTGAATATTGTTTCACATTTTTTTTTATCACCAGTTAAACAAAAAGATTTGAGAAGTGACCTACCTCAATCAAAAAATGTGAAAGAGTATGAAGTAGGCCTGGGCGATAAAACGGTATCGATATTTATCGACGGTACACCTTCTTCGATATCGATAGAAAAATTGTTCGATATAGCGCACGATATAGGCACGTGCTATGAGTGACGCAGACCGCACACACAAACACAAACACATGCTGAAATGAGTGCTGTGCCTGCCTGTGATGAGGAGATTGTGAATAAAGAATGAATATTAGTCGAATTTAAAATTAACATTTGCATTTGAATGTTAAGTGTGCATCAGGAAGGATCATCAGTGGCGCGCGAGATGCGGTGATGATGATGTAAGTGGCGTTGTTGCATTTTAAAGGAGGTTTATTCCTTTTCACTGCATCTCATATGTTTTTAAATGCAGTCTGTGTGACGGATGTTTCGGCTCTTTGGATTAAGCAATGCATAAATGCATGATGCTGTTTTGTTCATAATTGTTTATGAAATTTACGAAATTATATTTGATTTTTATGAGTTAATTTAGACGTAATGCATGTTTTTATAGAGTTACTTCCTTGCGTTGACAATTTAAATGCGCTGCATAATTTTGCTCATTGCGCCCTCCTGTGGCCTCGGGAGACAATTAGACTTATACAATAAATAACTATTTAATCTGCATATAAAACATTAGAAATTAGATATTTGTTTAATTTTTATTGTGTTTGATTGTTAAAACAAAAAATATTTGTTGTTTGTCTCAGTAAATTGTGTTAATTGTAAATACAGTGGTTAAATGTAAAAAAAAATTTCTATTGCTTTTTGTTTTAAAAAAAGGTTATAAAAAATGTCAATAATTATCGATACCGAACGATATGAAACATATCGTTGATACATTTTTTAGCTATATCGCCCAGCCCTAGTAGGAAGTGAGCCCAAAAACGTTTGTTTGTGGATAAAATAAAATAAAAAATTAGGATATATTCCTTAGACTTATTGGAAGTGTCAGTATAGTAGCAACTAATATCTTTAAACTAAAAGATTGGGTGTTTAACCATATGACAGTATAAATTGGACCAAAACTTCTGAATTATTTCACAAGACAAAAATGAATCTTTTAATGATTCATTCGCACCAATAAAGTGGACTGTTTTGGTAAGACATCTAATAGGTCACATGTCATATCTCATGTCATAGCTCAGATTGAATAAAAGTTCCAGTATTTTGAGTATGTTTTCATAGAATATCAAACTCTTTTATTAGAGTTTGAAATGGAGTCAAGTACGCTGATCTGTGTGTGTATGTGTGCTGCAGGTGATTCTGAAGACGAGGGAACTCTCCGAGAAGGAACTCAAGATGAAACCGCCACTGATGGATTCGCCGTGCCATCAGAAGGTCTGACCAATCACGAGTCTCGAACCCATCTGATAGTAGAGCAGCACCCAGAGCGTTAGCATGCAGGCCTGTGTTCTCCTCGTCGATTGGCTGAATCACTCGCTGTGCATTTTACTACACAGTTTAACCCTGTTCTCTGATCAGATTCCATTCATTTAGATCTGATCGTTCTCTTCTCCTTCCACCTCTTTCTCTGCTCGACATTTAACCTTTATGCTCTTCCTGTTTGTCTCTCTCGTCCCGCCCCTTCCTGTCGGATAGTCTCCCTCAAAATGGTACTGGAAGCTGGTGCCTGTAAGTGCCACAGCGCCCCCTGCATCTGTCACGTCACGCTGCGGGAAAAGCGTGACTAGATGTTGTGTGTGTGTGTCATTGTGCATCTCATGCGTTCATCCGTCTGTCCATCTCTCTCTCTCTCTCTCTCGTTTTGTCTCTGTCTGTCTCAGCCTGATCTCATGAACGCTTTGGCCCATTGCATGCTGGAACCGGTGGAATTCTCTCGTGTGGTACAGTACTCGTGCTCTCTCACATACTCATGAACTCATGAACACTTAACAATAACTTGTAAACATACCTGGCAATAAAGCTCATTCTGATTCTGATTCATACGCATACTCAAGGTCTGCACGAACCCAAACCCAGTGCTTTTTTTTTAGTAATTACAAACAAAAACCTGCTGCAGATCGGAGTCCTTTCAGGTCTCAAATTGACTAGCAGACGTCTAACACACACTCTTCAATGCTTCACTCTTCCATGCATCCACACATCCAAGCATTTGAAAATGATATACTATTATATAAAATTATACATATATATTTTTTATTTTAAGATTTCGTTTCTATGTACTAATTAAACTAATTTTAACTGTACTAATTTTAATTACATTTATATGTTTGCAAAGGTGGGAGAGAGCGCTGTACATTCACTCCCCCCACCTACAATCCCTGCCGGTACGAGACTCGAACTCGAATATTTAATATATAAACATAACATATTTTTCTGAAATATATGCATGCATGTGTGTGTATTTAAATAATAATAAATATACACAGGACACATTATGTAAACAAAATGTTTTATTTTGGAAGCGATTAATCATTTGACAGCTCTAATATATAGTTAACTAAAAACATGATTAACATATGTATACACACACACACAAAATTTTAACCAAATTTTGAGTGAAATTCAATGGCATGTAAGAAACCACTATGCCACACAACACATTCCACACATATGGAGGTAATTTTGCATGAAAATAATAAATTTATTTGTTCCTCTGGAAATGAAAGTCCTGTCATCTGTATGTATCGTAAGCATGCACAAATGATTAAGAGCTTGGGCAGATTATTCAGTAAATAATCACAAAAACTAATTTCATTTCAGTCTGTTCTACACATTTATCATATGGCATCTGAAGACTTGGAATGTTGTGCTTTAATATAAAGTAATATGTTTATTATTAAGTTGTACAGACTTATTTTGCGATGCTTCTTTGTCATTTTTGGAGCTCAGCAGTCATAAATACTATCCGCTTTTATTGTATGGAAAAGATTTGTCTTTTTATTTGAACAATATTTAAACAGTATGAACAAAAACATGTTTCTAAAGTGACATGAGGGTGATTAATTGATGATAGGATTTTCATTTTTCATAGAACTGTCATATTTAAAGTGAGCGTGTGATTTAGTATGTGAGAGACTGTGTGTGTCTGATCTGTGTTAGACGCTTTATAAGCCCCTGCCTGCTCTCTCTCAGGTACGGTACCGTAGAGAACACCTGTCCGGCCGGCCGTTCCCACACCTGGTTGTGATGGAGGATCTGATGAAGGATGTTTGTGATGGCGCGGCTCTGCTAGCGATCGTTCACTTCTACTGCCCTGAATACATGAGGCTAGATGGTATATAGACAAACAATGGGCCACAAATGAGCAGAATAATCGTGTCAATTCATTCTTATGTAAATTGTTGCAATCAATTAAACTCCACAGTTTAAATCAGGATTCTTTGGTGAATAGAAAGTTCAAAGAATGTAGCATGCATTTGAAATAGAAATAGCCTACTTTGTAACATTATAAATGTCTTTTCTATTAGATATTTGTCTGAAGGAGGTGCCGTCTCTGTCGGACAGTGTGTATAACATCCATCTGCTCCGGGAGTTTTCTAACGAATACCTGAACAGGTGTTTTTACCTGCACACTGAAGATCTGCTCTACAGCCCACCAGTGCTGAAGGTTCGTACTGAAATATATTTCATTAAAGTATTTGTACATCATGGTCGTTTTTGTTGTACTGCCTTTAATATATGCATATTTTAATAATATAATCTAAAACTAAAAGTATTAATAATTTTTTATTTAAATCAAATATAAATATTGAATTTGACGTACTAAAACAAAAACTGAAATAAAAATAATTTAAAGCCAAATAAAAATAAAATAAACAATTAAATAATACAATTATTCTATTTTAGTATATATTTACTGCATATAAACTAAAAGTATTTATAATTTTTTTCATTGAAATAAAGCTGAAATACAATTAAAATATAAATATTGAATATGAAGTAATAAAATTACTCAAACAAAAACTGAAATAAAAATTAATTAAAGCCAAATTGAAATATAAAACAATAACAAAATGGCAAAAGCACATACCAAAATGACTAAAATTTAAACTAAAACTGAAAATAAAATAAATGCTTATTCAAAATATCAATAAATACTGTTATAGTATATAAATAAATAAAATAGATTGTTAATCTAATTAATCAAATTAAATTGTAAAGTATTTGTACATCATGGTCATGTTTGTTATAATGTCTTTAATATATGCAGATTTTAATTAAACTTAAATTTAAAACTAAATAGAATTTCATTAAATAATACAGTAATTCTATTTTAGTACAATATATATTTACTGTATTATATTTACAAAAAGTTTAATTACCTTTGAGAATAATAGAAATTACAAAAATTTGGAAAATTAAAACATCTCTGTGTATTACAGTTAGTGGTTGACCGATATGGGTTTTTTTGACAGCCGATGCCGATATCTTGGAAAGCAGGGTGGCAGATGGCCGATATAAAGTAAATACCAAATATCGGCCGATATATCGGCCTTGGCGATATATCGGTCGACCACTAATTACAGTCTTTGACTTGTTCTTGTTCCTCCAGCATAACGTGATGGTTTTCATTGCTGAGCTCTTTTGGTGGTTTGAAGTAGTGAAGCCAGACTTCGTAAAGCGAAGAGACCTTCAAGAGATTAAAGATGGTAAGAATCCAGTCTTTAAAGCTCACTACTTTTCTGACACTTTGTTTCGATCTAAAAATATCCATCTCATGATTCATTCACTCTTTTATTTAAATGCTATGTTGTTATTGACAACCCATTGCTCCAATCTGACAGTGAGAGCGTCTCTTCAGCCAAAGAGTTCCCGCCCCCATGTGCCCATATCCAATGCCACCAAGCGAAGCCTCTTAACTCCCTCCCCTTCAGCCGACTCGCTGGCGACAGCTGCCACTCCTGATGGTTGTATGAGGTATTACTTGCACCCTGAGGAGTCCTTGTCTGTGTAAGTCTGTTTGAAGTACCTAATGATCTGTTGCACATTGCAGTACATACTTTGCATTACATTGATTGTTTTATAAAACCTATATTTCATTTTAGTTTCAGAACAAACAGAAGCCCCTCCCACCCGCTCCTCCCACTGCGACAGAGACCGCAGAAGCCCACTCAGGGGGAGGAGAATTCAGGTAACTACATCTTCTAATCAAACTTTCAGCAATATTCACATATTGCACTTAAATCAATAACATTGATTAAATTGAACAGTTGCCTTTCTATTTTCTCATCTTTCTCTATCATTCTGTGAGCAGAGCTCAGGAACAGGTCAAACTCTTTGTCCCGTATGGATGGACTCATGCTTGGATCACAGTTTGCCTGGACAGAACGGAAACAAAGGTTAGGGTCAGGTCAAATGTTTTAACTAAAACTATTAAAATCTTTTTTTATATATAGTATTATAGTTTAACTCTGCTTTATTTCAAAATATTTTATGATATTTTATGAAAATAAAATAAATATTAGATGAAAAACTTATAAAAGATAACATTTTTAATTCGTGCTCTGGCAACTAACTGAAATAAAATATGTAGAAGATGAAGTACTAAAATTAAAGCCAAATAGAAAAAAAAAAAATAAAAATGACAAAAGCACATAAAAATTACTAAAACTTAAACTGAAATTAAAATGAAAACTGAAAATTTACAAATAAATGCTAATTCAAAATAAGTACTGTAATAGTATATAAATAAAATTCTATGAAAATTATTTAATTCATTTTATTTCTGTGTGATAATATCTATTTTTGGAAATCCAGGAAATTAAATACAAATGAAAGCTACTTTATTTCTTATATACTTGATCTCATATAATTATTTGCTCCTTTTATTTGGAAATTGCAAAATCTCTATAGGTTTACAACAGCCCAGTCTTGAATGAATGACTAACCCGTTCAAATTTCAAACCTCTGTTTTCTCAGGCCCATCTCTCAGATGGAGATGGATTGGGAACGTGTATGTGGCGATAATATCAGCTTGGCTCGATCCATAAGCAAGGACAGTTTAGCTTCCAATGTCGTCATCATCACTCCACGACACCGCATCAACGGCCAGCCCCTCCCCCAGACACGTCACTATGACAACCAGGAAGAAGAGGAGGAGCTACTGGCTGTGATTAACCCAGAGGGCGCATCTGCATCCAGAGACGCCCGACCCGAGAGTTTCTTCTTGGAACCATTGCAACCTGCAGTTCTACGACCAAATAAGGAGAAAACGGAGGTTAGTAAGTGGGAGGAGAGTGGAGAGGGGCGGAGTCAGGGACGCCGGGGGGCGTATTCACCCACAGAATGCACTCTCAACCGGACGTTTACGCCGATCGGTGGCATAGAGCAAGCAAGCCCTCGAGCTCAATCTCCCGGAAGCTTCTTCCTGCACGACGACGCTCAGTGCGTGCGGGACAGTCCGCACGACGATGCGGAGTGCGTGCGGGACAGTCCGCTCGACGACGCGGAGTGCGTGCGGGACAGTCCGCTCGGAGGCTGGGAGGACATCGCCTCGGATTCGGAGTTTGAGGAAGATGACGAAATAGAGGTCCAAGAGCAAGAGATTTCCAAAGTAGTTCTGATGCACGCTGGGAGGAAATGCATAGGACTCAGAGAGGAAGAGGAGTCTGCGAAACTGCGCCAGGATGTTTGCTTGCGCGAACGGTACGATAAGGAAGGCGTGAGTGGAAGGGCGAGTCCTTGCCCCAGCATGTTGTCGCAGGCCAGCAGCACTTCGACTGGCACTGGCCGCATGACGAGTTTCGCAGAACGCCGTAGACATAGAGTCGGATTCCCCGATGGTTGCTGCAGCACGGGGAGCTCGCAGACAACCACTCCTGATGAATCCGAAAGCGTGCAATTCCCTTCGGATGCGAGTCCGGGAACGCCAGGTGGCCGACCTGGTCTCGCTTCCGAACTCGTACACCTTCGCATGCAGCTGGAGGAGAAACGGCGCGCTATTGAGATGCAGAAAAAGAAGATGGAGAACCTTTCGGCTTGGCAACGGCTGCAGCTGGGAAAAGCGGCGTTCTTGCATGTCGTTAAAAAGGGGAGGAGCGACACACTGCCACACCCACTGAAAACGGTAATTGGGTGTAAAAAGAAAGCGCTTGTGAAGGATGACTCGTGCGTTGAGATTCTGAAAGCCCAAGGAAAAGACGCAGAGAGTAAAGAAACGCCGGTAGAGGAGGATAAGGACAATCGTTTGAGTGTAACAGGAGGGGGCGGGGCTTCGGATGATGTGGGCGGAGAACCAGATCTCGGCGAATGTAGCCGTTCCATTGAGCTCCTGAACGAAGCGATCGGAGCGATACAGCAGCAAATGATGCAACTGTCTCTCCAGCAGGACTTGCTCATGAAACAGACCATCCAGTCCCCGCAGGAAACCAAACCGAGCACTGTGCCGCCCTTAAACGAACATTGAGCTCCTGAACGAAGCGATCGGAGCGATACAGCAGCAAATGATGCAACTGTCTCTCCAGCAGGACTTGCTCATGAAACAGACCATCCAGTCCCCGCAGGAAACCAAACCGAGCACTGTGCCGCCCTTAAACGAACACCCGTCGGAGCAACCTGAGACTAAGTCGCGCCTTTCCGTACAGTTCACGGAAACCCTTTCCACCACAACAAAACGTCCTCCCAGGCTCAGCTCGAGTCGTACGCCTCGGACGAAACCTAGCGACCTCAAACTGAGCAAAGATGCCAACAGTCGTCCAGCGGCGAAAGCAAGCACTCCGACACCGGGAGGCAGGACCCCCCGGGATGAGAATGAGGAAGAGGGAGGGGCTAAAGAGGGTGGGCGTGGCTCAAAAGGAATTATTCGCAATACTACATTCAGACAGCAGGATGCCGCAAACCGACGCGCCGACAGCCTCAACTCGCCCCAAAACGAACTCCCCCTGCTGAAACTGTCGCCTGTCGATCCAACCCAGGAGCGGAGCGAGTCCGGCGGCTCTGGAAAGGAGAACGTTCCGGTTCCGTCCGAGGAAAACAGAACGAAAGCACAGCTGATTGAAGTGGACCTATCTGTCCTGGCTGAACCGGCTGAAACTAGCACAGAACCTGATGAGGAACCGAAATCTGGACTGGGCTTCTTCTTTAAGGTACCAGAGCATTTTTGCAAAAGATGATGATTATTATTATTATTATTATATATTTTAAATATATTATTATTATATGATTCTATCTGTCTGTGTGTTATATTGCATTGTAAAAATATTTGGTCCCACTTTATATTAAGTGGCCTTAACTACTATGTACTTACATCAAAAAATAAGTACATTGTACTTATTGTGTTCAAATTGTATTGCAAAACACATTTGCTGCTATTGAGGTGGGATATGGGTGAGGTTAGGGACAGGTTTGGTGGTATGGGTAGGTTTAAGGGTTGGTTAAAGAGTCAACAGTGTACAGGGGTCAATTTGATTACTATAAGGGAACACGGTTCAAACTGTTTATATTATATTGTTTTGATAAATGAACAAGTATTTTCTTTAAAAACATGATTTTCCCATGTTTATTTATGATTCAAGGAATATCCTGTTTAAAGCTACAGTCCGTAACTTTTTTTGGTTAAAAATGATCCGAAATCAATATTTGAGCAAGTACATAACCAGCCAGTGTTCAAAACTATCGCCTTACTT